CGGTTGTGGGGCCTGAACCCTGGGCCTGGGCGCTGTCCCTCAGCTTTTCAGCTCAAGGCTAGCGCTCTACCATTTGAGCCACAGCGCTACTTTTGGCTTTTTCTGCTTATGTGATGCTGAGGAATCAAACCCAGGGCCCCATGCATTCAAGGCAAGCGCTCTACTGAGTCACCTTCCCAGCCCCGACTCTGAGTTCTTAACTCATGCTTCTTAACTCAGGCTGCTGGTAACGCAGTGAAGCGAGCCTCGGATAACCTGGTGAAGGCGGCCCAGAAAGCTGCAGCCTTTGAAGACCAGGAGAATGAAACAGTGGTGGTGAAGGAGAAGATGGTTGGGGGCATTGCCCAGGTGAGCCACTCAGAAAGGCACTGTCAGGAGGCCAAACCCATTGTCTGCACTCTCTCCCAGCCTCCCACCCTTTATGCCTTACTTGCTAGTTGAGTCTCCATCCTTCATTCCTCAGATCATTGCAGCACAGGAAGAGATGCTTCGGAAGGAACGAGAGCTGGAGGAGGCACGGAAGAAGCTGGCCCAGATCCGGCAGCAGCAGTACAAGTTCCTGCCTTCAGAGCTTCGAGATGAGCACTAGGGAAGCCACTTCTATTTAATGCAGACCCAGCCCAGAGACTGTGCCTGCCACTACCAAAGCCTTCTGGGCTGTCAGGGCCCTACCTGCCCAACCCCAGCACTCCCCAAAGTGCCTGCCAAACCCCGGGGCCTGGCCCTGCCCAGTCCCACTGCACATGCCCTATTCTCTCCCTGATTCCAAGTGCCTTTTTATACCCTAGGCCCTCTAAGTGCCTGCCCTTTCCCAGAGTATTAACGCTCCGAGAGTATTATTAACGCTGCTGTACCTCAGTCTGAACCTGTCAGGGACCCAGCCCACTCAGCCCTGCCAGCAGCTTCCAGCCAGCGCCCACAGCCTCATCCGCTCTCAACTCATCCCTATTTGATACTACTTTTCCTCCACCCCAGCTATGTCTGGGACTGCAGGGTTGTAAGCCCCAAACAGGTCATGGTCCAATAAAGATAATTCTACCTAGCTTTGTGATGCCTGGCTTTGTGAGGAGGTTTGAGATCCTCCCAGGACAGTAGGGGAGAATAAAACTATTTTGTGTCACCCAAAAATGACACAAAATAGTCATGTGAAGTGGCAGTGGGGGAGATAAGCAATCTGCCCTATTAGGCCCCTTCCTCCTCCCTGCACCCAGATTTCTAAATTATCCTAGTCTGAGAGCTATGCCTAAAAGGCCATGCTCCTGTTGTCCCTGCCTCCCTGGCCAGTGTCTAAGCCTCACCAAGTGTCATTCTTCTGTTGCTAGGGTAGCAGCTGCCACTGCTCATTGTGGCTACCAGGACACTTTGTTCTTCATAGCTACTTAGAATATGTAAACAGAGTCCCCAGCCAAATTCAAATCTTCAAAAGTAGCTTTGCTAAAAAAGAATAGCCTATAAAATGTAAACATCTGAGCCTAAGATAACTGATCGCACAACTGGTGATAGCAGTTAGCAAGCAAAATATCCAGCCTAATGAGTTACCAAGAAAAATACCCAGCCTGATGAGTTGGAGCACTCCTTAGAAGAGACTAAAGGAGGGCCGGGCGCTGGTGGCTCACGCCTGTAATCCTAGCTACTCAGGAGGCTGAGATCTGAGGATCGCGGTTCAAAGCCAGCCCGGGAAGGAGAGACAGTGAGACTCCTATCTCCAATAAACCACCAGAAAACCGGAAGTGGCACTGTAGCTCAAGTGGTATAGCGCTCGCCTTGAGCTGAAGAGCTGAGGGACAGCGCCCAGGCCCAGAGTTCAAGCCCCACCAATACTATCAACAATAACAAAAATCCAGCAAGCCAGGCACCGGTGGCTCATGCCTATAATCCTAGCTACTCAGGCGGCTGAGATCTGAGGATCACAGTTCAAAGCCAGTCTAGGCATGAAGTGAGACTCTTATCTCCAATAAACCACTTAGAAAACCGGAAGTGGCACTGTAGCTCAAGTGGTAGAGCGCTTGCATTGAGCTGAGAGCTCAGGGATAGCTCCCAGGCCCAGAGTTCAGGCCCCACAACAGACCCAAAAAAAAGAAAAAAAAATCCAGTAACATGAATGGATTTCAATGTAGCATAGTATAAGATGAAGGGGGATCCTGGAGGAGTGGTTTAAGTAATACAGCCAGTACTAGCCAGTACTACCAAGAAAGAAAAAGAAAGATTGAGAGAGAGGAAAGAAAGGAAGAGAGAGAAAGGAAGGAAGGAAGGAAGGAAGGAAGGAAGGAAAAAGACTATTGATATGGTTTCAGGTTCCATATCCCAACTATTAAGAAACAACCTTTGTACAAGCATGGGTGTAGCAACAAAGAATATCCACAATTAACTGAAAAGTGTTTTTTTTTTTCCAACTACTTATCTGTGTGAGACTGGATTTTCCTCATAGTACTTCAGAAACCAACAGATCAAAATTTTTTATTAACATTTATATATATAATAGGTTTTTACAAAATACATTAATAGTTAGATTGCCTCCATTTCCATTTTAATATGCCAAATATTCATGGGTATGACCCATTTCAATAAAAGCTATTTGAAAGTTTCAATATTTTTAAGAATATAAGGTGTTCTGAAACCAAAAAAATCTGATATCTGCAACACTAAACCATAATTTCCTCTAGGTCCACATGCTAATGTATTTGTGTGCTCAGAATGTAAAACCATATATCGAATGTTAATTAAGTACCACTCTAAAGCTTGGTGCTGTGTTAGGCATTGGGGATTCAGAATTGAAAAGGTTAGTCCATGTTCTGGAGGACTCATAGACCAGTGGAGGGGACCTGGTGGTTCAAAAGCGTACCCCAGGGGTTAGGATAAGAATGATAATCTACACCAAGAACAAGCACCTATGAGGTGCAAGGGGTGAGGAGGTGATGAGGCCAGGGCAGGCTTCCCAGAAAAGCTGACACTTGATCTGAGTCATAAAGGCCACCAGGAATCAACCTAGGGGAAGGGCATCTTAGGGAGAGGGAACAGAATGCATAAAATGTGAAAGCTCAGCCTACTGGCTCTCCATGGCTCAAGCCAGCAATCTCAGCTACTTGGGAGGCTGAGATCTGAGGATCAAGCTTCAAAGCCACCCCAGGCAGGAAGGTCCACGAGACTCTTATGTCCAATCAACTGAAGACGGAAAAAAAAAAAAAGCTGGCAGTGGAACTGCGGCTCAAGTGGTAGCGCAGAAGGAACAAAGCCCAGGCCCTGAGTTCAAGCCCCAGGAACAGCACAGACAAAAACAATATGAAAGTTCTAAGAAAACGATGGCAATTCCCAGCCCCTGTACGTAGCTCAATATGAATGTAGCATGAAGTCCAAGTCTGAGCACGGGGGTGAGGGCTGAGAATGAAATGAATGAGAGAGGTAGTCAGGAGTCCAAACAAAAGACCTTCTATACCATATTAAGAAATGTGGGTTTTTTTGTTTTTTTTTTTTTGTCTCCAAAGCTGAGTGGAGAGCGGGGAGGAGCTATTTCTAGATCCTATTTGCTTTAAGGAGTGGGGGGGGGGGAAGGGATGGGGAGCAACAGAGCACATTGGCAGCAATGCCAATGCAAGCAGCTGATGCTGGGGAACTAAAGAGTCGGTTGGGAACTGGAGCCCGGCACAAGGCAGGCTCAAAGCCGACTTCGAAGAACCTAATTCATGAGACGCAGGACCCTCAGTATTAATAGAGGGCGGTGAGAGCCCAATATCCGCCCCACCCCGCCCCACCCGGACCTAGCACCGGCTACTGGCGGAAGCGGCCCGTGGCCGTGCACGGAGGTTGGGGAACACAAAGCGATGGGGTGCGGGGTCCGCAGGTCTGTACGTGAAGCAGGCGGGTCCAGGCAGCCCGCCGCGCCCTCCGCGCCCACCCCTCCGCCCAGGGCTCCCACGCCCTCCGCCCCCTCCCCGGGGTGGAAGACAGAAAACAGACCCGCCCGGCGCCCCGCGCCCCAGACTTCCCAACCCGAGGACCGGTCGCAGAGCCGTGTGCGGTCTCGGATTGGGGGGTGACCTCATCTCCCCCCCCCCATACACCCACGTCCGCCCCGGGCTCCCGACGCCCCGCAGCCCCCATTCCTCCGCCCAGCCCGGCTCCGCCTCCCCTCGGGGAAACATCCCAAAAAAGGGCAGAAAAGAAATTTCGGCGTAAAGTTGGCCCACTGGGAAGGAGAGCCGCGTCCGCTGGGAGGAGGGGCGGGGACGGGGGGGGCGGGGGGGCAGAGAGAGGGGAGTGGAATCAC